AATCTTGGCAGGATGATGCTTTACACAAAGTTGGATTTTGTTAAGGGTTTCAAGGTCAAAGTATGAAAGTTGCTGGGTTTTTTAAACAACCATGCTTTTCTCTTGGTCAACGAGATGCAGGATGTTCAAGGATGGGATCACTTCAAAGTCTTTAATTGTTGGTAGATGGCAAGCAAACTGCAAATGTTATTTATGAAGAAGCTTTGTTATAATTTTAAAACTTTGAGATAAAGTTTATGTTCAAGTTATTACTTTGAAATATATGATTGCTGTCAAACTTACATTGTTTTAATTAAGTTTACACTTTCCCCGTCAGTTGACGGGTATTTCAGCTTGTTTAAAATAAAATAACTACAAACACCGAACTGTGTGTTCCAGTTCACAATGTCTTACTTCTAAAGCTACCGTTCACCTTCTACAGCCAGTTGCAGAAAAAAAGCAGCAGGTTTAAGGGAAGGCTTGATAAACATGAATGATAAAGGGTAGTTTTGAATTAATTTTTATTTTAACTGTTTAGTTTAGTAGATGGAATTGCCTAGATGGACTAAGAGGTCCCTTGCTGCTCTTAAATACTATGTTTTCAGTAACCTGTATTTATTATTCTTAATTTTATTCACTTTGGATCAACTGGTTTTTCTTACCTGTTTTAGTCCTAGTTTCACCTGATAATTGGAGCTAATGAATAATGGATATAGTTTAAATATAATAGATGGTGTGTCCCACCACTGTGTAGGTCTTTCTACCACAAGTACCAGTCTTAAGTCACTCACTGTAGTGTTTACAGAGATTTTACTAGTTTGTCCTGTATGTCGAATGTTATTTGTTTTAGCCTCATTATATAAATTTTTTTTTTAATTATCCCAGTGAGGGAATGGCTGTCGTGTCACAGTTTCTACTCATTGGATGTTAAAATTAACATAATTATTATGTTATCTTGATAAACACACAAATGTAGACACACACACACACACACACACACACACACACATAGAAAAATCTATGTAAATCTATTAGAATATATATAATATTCTTCCTCATGGAAAATTTTGTGGAAAAATAATAAGAGAAATGTTCCTTTTGCACTAGCCATAAACACTTACGTTGGATAATAAAACAGTAATCCAGAGGCATTTACCAGCATCTTAAATAACATACAAATTTATCTATATTTTCTGTACTTCACTTATTACACAGTTTCACTCTGTAATCAAATTCTATGCAATGCTGAAAACAACAACAACAATATGATAATAAGATAGCTCATAAGAGTCTTGAAATTCTGTGGTTATATCTGAAGTGAACAAGATCTCAAATTTAAAGAAACAAAAGTTTCTACTGATACTTCTATCAATTATGTAAGATACTTCTCATTCATTATGTTACATGGCAAAATGTATTTGTTGGCTGTTGTTTTTTTCAATTATTTTAACACCAGAATTACATTACATACTTCACTATTCCTCATCTAACATGCACGTTAGTCGAGCTAAACATGTTCAAGAAATAATAAATATCAGTAAAAAAACAAATAAAAGAATATATTCAATACAAATAATAAAAAGTATTAAATATTTCTTCATAAAAAAACTCCTCAAAACTTTAGAGACATCACTCAATTCAATCTAAAGAGAAGGGGCAGCCTTAGTCACACTTTATATTCAGGGAACTTTTTTTTAACCTTTTTTTTAGCAGACAAATGTGGTGTAAGTCGAGGTGGAAAACTTGGCGTTTGTGGTACATTAACCCTACCTACTCGAGACACCATGGGATTGTAAGTTGTATTTTCATCATAAGAAGTGGAATTAGATTCTTCTGAAGGTGGGCTTGGGAAGTAATCACTGACATCTAGTTTAAACAGCTTATCAGGCTGATGGTGAGAGTTCAAATTAGGGAGGGTGAGAATTTCTTCACTTGCACTACGTGCTACTTGAGGTGATGCAGATTCGCTACGATCGTCATCTGCATCATTTTCATCACTTCCTCTATCATCTTCATCATCTTCCTCGACTTCTTCTTCAGGCTTATCTGGATATGTGGTAAATCCATTGTTCACTTGAGCAACTGGCATTCTCTTCTTGTCTTTGGGGGACAGTCTCCCCTTCTTTCCTATCAAGAAACGCACACTGGGATCTCTTTGACTCTTTTGTTCATCCGACTTATCTGGTTGGTAGTGTCGATCAGCTTCTGGTTCACTGAAACGAATATCTTCGGAACCTGCTGGAGAAACATTCTCAGCAACTTGATCATACTGACGAAGCAAGTCTTCCAGATTTCGAATCCTAATCGATCCACATGGTGGAACTGTATCCTCTCTCTCACTATCACAGGCTTTGATATTATCTAAAACTGACTGGAATGGGTCAGTATCAGGGGTACTGGATAAAGGTTGTGCAGACTCCTGATTAGGGCTTGATAAAAATACTGCTGGATGATAGGATGCTGCAGAATGCAGAGCCTCCAAAATGTCCTCATGGTACCCATTCATGTTCTTCAATGTTTCAGAAATATGATTATCGGTTTCTCTAGTTGAATCGGAAAGCCTAGTGTCATTCTTCTCTGGAGATTTTGAAAGATCATTGTGAGGTATCTTAATAAACGTGGAAGACTCCCTGCTAACTGGAATAGATTCACCAGACTGTTGTTGTGAATCTAGAGACTGAAGCTTGTCTCCTCTAAAATATCAAGATATGTATATATAAATATACATCCAAACAGTAGAACAATAAATAAAATAAAACCAAAGTTTAAAAAAATAGATGAAAACTCAAGGAAATTCTGAGATAAAAATAAAATAACATTGATACTATGAAACATTGATATTTCTGTATAAAAATATTTCACTAAAATCCTATCACTGAAACTTTCTAAATGTAATTTTTCTTGATACACTATATTATTAATATACTAAAAAAATCGGAAATTTGCAAGAGATAATCAAAGGAGCACAAGGTTTAATGTCTGGAATTTTCTTGAAAGTTTAAGAAATAATTTAAACATGTAAAAAATGTGAGTTAGGTGAGAGTACATTAACTGGATTGTTCATTCCTTATAAAGTTAACTGGTTTGCTAGTTCAGCACTGTAAGATTTGAGTTTGTGTTTTCAAAAAAGTACAAGAGATGTGAGAAGTATCGTACATATAAGAAAATTAATAAATATGTGGAATTTCTATATGGGTGTTATTTATTTGTGAAGTCAGGATCATCAACACTTACATAGAACTTGTAGAAGTTGTACTTGTCAAACTTGTAGACAGAGAAATAAAACTTCTGTTATCATTAAGTTACCACTCTTTTTACTAAATAATCTAAAAAAGAACCCTTTCAACAATAGAAATTATTACAATACTGGTGTCAGAAGTGTGATTATTTTGGTAAAAATAAAATAGAATCCAAACTGGACTTCAAGATGATGCCATGTGTTCAAAATGAGATTAAAAACTATAAGAGAGAGATAAAAAAATTAAAGATCAGGAAGAAAGTTACAGAAAATAAAAAGATAAAGTAAGACAAATGAATTTAAGGTAGGAACTACAAAAACAAGATTTACAGAAGAATAACGAACAAAAAATCAACTTGACTTGAAAATAAGGTTGAAGAAGTCATAGGAAGTGTACAGAGGAAAATTAGTGAAGTTAAAACGATTGTCAATGAAGTAAAAACAGGATAAAAGAAGTACAGAAATATAATAATAACAAGATTCAATAAACCATAAGAAATGTACAGAAGGATGTCAATACTAAGATAAAAAATCTAGAAACTGCACTGGCAAATGCAATGATCAAACTAGCAAAGCTGAATCCCAAGAAGTGTGAACTTTTCCATCAAAAGGTGAGTTTCCTGAGACATATTCAGCAAAGAGGGAGTGTCTACAGAACCAACTAAGACTGAACGTATTCATAATTGGCCAACACCATAGGCCTTAAATAAGGTAAGACAATACCTTGGGTTGTGCTTTTACTGATGCTGATAGCTTGCCCTCTACACAAAATATTAGAAAAAGCAAACAAGTTTTCCTAGACTATTAATTGTGAAGAGGCATTCAAAAAACTGATGAAGAACTCATTATAACTTTGATACTAGCATACCCAACTCTTTGACAATCACCTATACTAGATAAAGATGCCAATCCCAATGTTGCAGTTGGAGCAGTGCTATCACAAGTACAGCATTGGAAAGAACATAAAAGGAATACTAAGTATTGTTTGAGCCATGAGTCATTTCCATCACTGAACAACAATGAAGTGACTTATGAAATTCTGCAATTCAGAAGGCTAGATGGCATTAGAAACTTCAGGAGCACAACTTCAACATTGTACATTGCCCTGGACAAAAATCATGAAAGTGTTAATACATCATCCCAAAGACCTTGTATTACTGAAGACTGTAAACACTTTGAAAAGAGGGAAGCATAAGACAATCAACTAAAGTGCAATGCAGCAGAATCTGTGAAGATACATCCATAGATGATTATGAAAAATTAATGCAATTCAGTTCAAATGAAAGATGCCAGTGGATCAGAAATGGTTCAAAATGACTACTGTGGCAAATAGTGGTTCAATACAGCTGGCAGAAAAAGATGTACTAATCACAGTGGGTTATTTTATGTCTTTGAAGAGATCTGCTAGGTCAAAGTGAGAAGATACAAGTGAATAGCAGTTATGCATACAGTCACTACAATCAGAAAAACTCCACTTCCACAACCTTCCCATAGTTAGACACATAGTTCTTAAGACACTAGAGAAAATATAAGAATGCCTCTACTGCATTGAATGCTAGAAATCTGTAAAGTACTGATGTGAATCATATGAATTATGCTGTGAGCAAAAACCGTTCATAGAGAAAACAGTATGGAGAATTACAGCACTTGAGAGAGTTGCTGTTGATGTTCTTGGTCCTCTACCACAGAGTAACACTGGAAATAAATATATCTTGGTAGTGACAGGCCATTTCTTTAAATAGTCATAAGCATAAGCTGTTATTAACCAGGAAGCAGTAACTCTAGCAGAGAGATTTGTCAAGACAATTGTTTCAATATATGGGGTGCCTATTGAACATCACTCGCATCACAGATGGAACTTTGCTAATATAATAATGGAATAATGATAAAAATAGACCAGGAAAACAGCCCTTTATCCCTCTCCTGATGGAATGGCGGAAAGATACAACTACACACTTTTAAATCAATTAGCATTTGATTTGGAAGAATATCAAAGAACATTGTACCAAGATCTTTCACTCCTACTCAAGAGTTATCAACCATCAACATGTGGAACTACAAGCAACACAACAGCATCACTGATGTTTGGAAGAAATCTATAACTAAAACTGGGCCTTTTGTACACACACCCTGAGGACCATTAGTCAGTAGAGTTTTGTACAGAGTATGCAGTGAGACTAAGAAACACCACTGATGGCATACATGACTTTACCCAGGAAAGATTTAAATCAACTAGCGATAAAATGAAAAAGACTGGATTTCACCAAGGTGATAGGCATGGCCATACAATCCATTCTACAAAAAAAAGGACTGTATGCAAAGTTAAGTAGACTTTGGGAAAAGGACACTATGCTGTACTTAAAAGATTCAGTTTATAAAAAGCCAAAGGTCATCCACCATGATTATATTTGGAAGTACATCAATAAGTAAACAGCTAAACAGTTCAATTCAAAGAACCTCACCATAGGCTAATCAACACATTGAAGAGCCAAAGATTCCTGTCAAGAACACTTCCAAGGTATAGGGATGGAGCCACCAGTGGGTTCTGTTGATCATTTACTTGAAGAAAACTTCCCAAGTAAACAAGACAAGTGTTGATAAGGGGCAAGAGGTCATCCCATAATCTTACCATAAGAATGGAAAACTACTAAAAAGATTTGTTGACTAAATATCAGAAAAAAGATTGTTAATCAGAAATTTTTATTTTTCACACAATTATTGACTGTAATATCTATGTTTATGGTTATCATGTTTAACACATTTATTTTCTCTATGTAATAGGATTGTTAAAGGGATTTCACAATCAAGGGAGGGGCAGTATTATATTCTTTTTGTTGGTTACGTAGACATTTATATTGACTTTTTGCCAGAGGGATTGTTAATTTCAAGTGAAGAGTATACTTGAAATTTTTTTGAAAGTTTAGGAACTAATATAAAAGTGTAAAAGCACAATTAGGCAAAATTATGCTGTTAATATTTTTATTGATTATGAAAACAGTGCTGTAAGTCTTAAGTTTGTGTTTTCAAAGTACTAGAGATATGAGAAGTACTGTATGTACACAAAAATTAGTAAGTAAGTGGAGTCTCTATTGAGGCATTATTTATACGTGGAGTTGGGCCTGTTTAATTACATGGATCTTGTACAAGTTATATTTGTAGAAACAGAAAGGTTTTGTTATAATTAAGTGGACTGGACTTTGTATCATTCCTTTAAATGAATAATTCAAAATACATTGTTACAATAACATTATCTCCAATATTACAATAAATTTAAATATGAAGAACTCTTGAAAGTTAGTATTTATTAAAGCACTCCACATACAAAAGGATAATTTTTTGATAAAAAAAATGGACAAAAACTTTTTCATTATAGTTTTTAAAAATATGTGTACCCTTATAAAACAAAATATTAAAACAATGGAAAAAAATAACCTTGGCAACCACACATTTGTGAATAACAATCTCTTATTTTAGCTTCAATTTCAATGATGGAAAAAAAAAAGGTACAACTCTAACATGACAGTGTGTTTGAAAGATATATTATTTCACATTATGATTATTATTCAATAAAAAAATAAGAAATGCTCTTCCAAAATACATGATTTACCAAGTTAAGATAAATTTTAAATAAATAAAATTAATACTCTGCAAAAAACTATTAAAGTGAAGTATTGTTTCATTGATGTGATTTTTAACTTACCTTTGGTAGAAATTACACAAGTTGAAATCAATGTAATTAGTAATTATTGAACAAATGTGACAGTCAGCAGCATGTAAAAAATTATTTTAACATACGTCCACAGATAAGAAAGGAGCCTTAATTATTTCAATTCAACATTTTAGGTTGTATTTAAAAAAGATTCTGCCCAATGGTTTCTTTGAAATAAAACTTTTTTTTAGTTACTAAACAAAATGTTTGTGGAATACATTTTAAAATTATGTTTCATTCTATATATACTGGGAATATTACACTTTTAAATAGTCTGTACTTGGTGGGAATGAAACAGATTTTAATAGGGTAAATGTTTCAAAGAAGGAAGGCAGCCAGGCAGACCAAACCACAAGGGCTACAATGGGATTGACTATCACTCTTATAATACACCCACAGCTGAATCTGTTGAGCCTGTCCAGTGGTATCGTGATAACAGTGCTAACTTTTTGACCTACAAACTGGCATACTAACCACTAGAACATGTCAGAGATTCTTTTATGTCATACTTCGTAGTAACTACACGTCTGAACATTGAACAACATACATAAACTTTTAAGAATATACTTTCTTTTATATTAAGTTAGAATTAAGTATTTGGATGGAGTACACATACTCTAAAATTATGGCTTCTTTAATGTCATTCTTAACAAGAAATACCAAAGTCTTAACAGCATAAATATACTTTTACATGACACTTCTCTCAGTCATCTTTAACCAAAGTTGTAACGGTTCAATTCAGGGGAGTAAGTACGACTTGAATAACAAGTTCAGGGAATAAGCACATTTTTGGGGCATAAATTGTGGAAGTTACATATGTATCAGTGAGTTAAGAAATCGCCACATGAAAATTTTTCTCCAGTGTTCCTTACAGCAAGAAACAATCTTGATCTTAGTGTTTTCAACTTACATCAGTAGTGCATGAATCGTTTTATTCCATCTACAATTTTAAACATGTTTTTTCATATGCCTTCCCACACACCCCATATAACCGATTTGTGTATGTATTGTACATGTCATTTTCCCCATGCTAATTGTTGCTATTATATTACTTAACAGTAGTAATATTCGTACGATGGTTTTTGAGATTTCTTTATTTTTAAATTTGTACTTTCAGTTGTGTGCCCCCCCCAACTCTCTGTGCTCCCCTTGGGGGCATACCCCACAGTTTGTGCAACACAGATCTATATAATCAAATTCTATGTGGAGGTGGTTTCACTGATAAGATTGACTTCTGAATAATAGCTAGAAGAAAAAAACATTAAATTTTCCATTTTCTTTTAGTTAAATCCGTTATAATTTTTCCTCCTACATAAATGCTACAGTATTTTGTGACATTATGTACATATTTTTTGTGCTAAGATGTATCACAACCTTCAGGTGAACCAGTCAGTATTTCTCTACCAACAGCACTTATGATACCTTTGTATCTACTCCACAGATTTAAAAGAATTATCTGTGTGATTTGCTCTACAAATACAAATTCATATAAAGGCCAAAATACAAAAAATAACAGTAATATTGAAACATACTTATAAGTTGGCAAGCTTCCAAATGTTATCATCCTGTTTGCTGATTGGTCTCTTTCTGTTGGTGTAAGGTGGGAAGGCATTTTGTGGCTCCGAGCTTTGTCATGGCGTCTAATGTCTGGTTTGCAACCTCCATTTTTCTTCCTGCATACACAAGTTTTACATGAAGGATATCAAAATCATCTAGATAAACTTATACTTTAATTTATATTATTCTGGTGCATGGCATATTGAAACAAAACCAAACAAAAAAATGAATTATTATTATTTGCTTGCAATATCACGTAACCTGGGACAACTCTAGCAAATCACCGAGGTTAACATTTTCTCAGAGAATCACAAAACATTTCTGATCTCATGTCTATGTATGCAAATGAAGCAAAAAAATATTCAATGGATGAAAAAGCTTGCTTACTATTTGAAGACCCTTCTCAAGAAGATTACATTTTTTATCTAATTCTTTTGTGGGCCAATGTCCTCAAAATGTTCTTTTTTAATGTTATAAAACAACTTATCCACATAATGAGGCTCGGCATGAATTTAAGAAAGATTTTTTTCATAAAAACGTATAACCATTATTTGATGTGCACATGCATTATGTTAAAATATATTTTCAAGTGTGTTTTAGCATGTATTAAATTATTATTCTAGGACTGGCTATACTTTAGAAAGAAATAATATTTTTTGTTATTGTAGCCTTTTTTCAATCTCTGTGTGTGTGTGTGTGTGTGTGTGTAGGGGAATTTCTGTAAAAAAAAAAAGGTTTTCAAAATGGATGAAGATAAGTTCTGATTACTTTACAAATCTAGTTATCATTAACACATAGAAATGCATTTAATTTATATATTATAAAAAAAAGCTATGGTTAATATTTCAGTAATATATCTGAAATACATTTAAAATGCATTCTGATGATACGAGATTACACATAATGACATGTAGAGAGATTCTAAGTGTACATGACTTGTCTGGAGGTAAAATAATTCAATTAACTATGGAATAGCAACATCAGTACTAAATCTATGTAATTATTTAACTTATTCCTACGATAAACTTGTTAAAAAAAACAATGGAACCATTAATTTTTTTTATCTACTGCCGAAAGAAGGTTATTTAAATTACTTTTGGAAAGGATAATTGGGTTTTACATACTTGCACATATTTTGCTCATCAATTACGTTTTGCTTCAACTTCCTTCCCTGCTCATTAATAATGACACTGTCAATGTTTTCTTACTCTTCTTGTGCAACTTTTCATAAATTATATAAATGGTTTCTAAGCACAAGTTTAAGCAGAACAAAGGAACATAAGATCACTGGAGCTGCACTGAGGATTTGACAGTTATATGATTAGACAGGATTGCTGTGGTTTTAGTTTCTCTGGTGATCTTTCTCATGAAAACATTTTGAGATGTAGTCAAAAGCTTGCACTTGGACTAAACTAGCCATTAAACACAATATTCCTGTCAACGTCAAATTCTCATAAAAACCTGGCCCTAAATTAAAATCGTTACTAAAC